AGAAAGAGGAGATGGATTTCAGTGACACTGTAGTCAGAAAACCAACACTCTGCATTTGTCAACAGTTCCCACATCATGCTATTGAAAAATCACATCTAACTATAAAGAAGAAACTGGAACATCTCAGCTCTATGTAGTAACTCATGGCAAACGTCTGCTTTTTAAAAGGAACACTCATAGTTTCCATTGGCACTCTTTGCCAATAGGACCAAGAAGTCTGAATTTGACTGCAAGATTCACTGCCAGATCTTTGAAATATTTGCTTTTCCAACACAAATACAACCCTCCAGCTTGCTGTGTGACAGGGTTCATGGTGAGGTAGCTCATGTGACAAGAATGTTGAAACTCCTAAGCTGTAGCAGAGGAGTTTCACACCCAAGTGAGTTCATTTGAGAGCCAAGTTTCCTGGATAGCACATCCCTCAGATTCAGTGCTGAACAGTCCATGGGTGAGCTGACACTGGTGTGACACTGAGCTTTGTAAATTCCTGAGGTACAGCCTGAACTGTAAAGAAGTCCAAAGCAGCAGCAACAAATCTGTGAAAAAGTATTTATTTTTCTTTTACTGGGTGAATTTTCTGCTAGTGAGCTGGCTCACTGTACAATCAGATAAACACCAGTGCCAGTACAAGGGAGGGAGGAAGACCATATGGCCAGGGATCTGGGAGATAGGAAGGTGGGAGCACAACATCACCATTTTGTATATGCTTATACTTCCACAGCACTGCAACGCCCTTGCATGAGACCTGAAGAGAGGGCTACAGGCTTATTTTCCCTGAGGCTTTGAGATAATAAATTGTGTACTTGGTTTACAAGAAATACATTCTAGCTCACGACTCTGTATATTAGGTCTCATGCTTAAACCCCAAAACTTTTGCCGGCACCTTCTGATTTCAGCTATTTATACTTCCATGCTCTAGTCTGATACTCAGATGAGGCACTCAGAATTATCATTGGATTTTGAAAACATAAGCCAGAGAATTGAACAGGAATTCTTGCATTTCATGTATCATTACCAGTAATAAGGATGCACAGTTTAGATACTCAGTGACATCAGTGTCTTCAAATGCACAGATGTAACCAACTAAGTATTAGTAAACAATTTTGTTAAAAAAGTACACAGAGAAATGGGATTTAGTTCCCCTCTTCTATGTTATGTTGTGTCTGCAAGGCAAATGAAAGTCCAAAGCAAAAGTAAATTGTATTTGTCATTTTAGAGTCAGTACAAATAACTCTGAGTATACTTAGGAAGCAAATCTACGCTCTCTAATGCCTTCTCTGCAGAGAACTGCACATTCATGCTCCTAAAGTTCAATGTATTTAAGGTAATAATTTCCTTCTGCCTCTGATAAGCATTCTTGTTGGCACAGAAAACATGCACATTCTTTCTTGCATAATTCACTCAGCTGTAATGTACAGGGAAAAGTGTATTAAAGAAATTTGTTTCCAAGAATACAAAGTTGCAAAATTTAGGAAATTAAAAAGGCAAGATAGTTCCTTTGACCCCTCTGAGTACGAGTAAGTCCCTTTAACAGGTTTTTTTCATCCAAGAAGAAATGTGGATATGTACCAGATCATCAAAGATTACACACAGGAAAAGACATTATATCTCATTTTGCAAAAGACATGCTACTGCAGGTCACAGAAAGCAACAGAACTCCACTAAAGTCATTGTATATCAAGCCATACAAGGGCTTGGTGAGAAGAATTTCAAACCAAGACAAGTAAGAAAAGGTAAATCACCAAGTCAAATTCTCAGGCAAAATGCACAAACTCAAAATATGAGAGAAAGTCTTCTTACCCCATATACCTTCTTGGCTCCTGCCTTTGCAGCAAACATAGAGAGGATTCCTGTCCCACTTCCAACATCAAGGACAATCTTATCTTTAAAAACATGTTTATTGTGATACATTGAGTTTCTATAGGTTAATGTGCGCACTTCATCCTTTAACATTTCCTGTGATGAAAAAAAAAGCATCGTGTTATTATTTGAAGTGCTTATATGCATTCAACACTGCTGCTGATTGCATTCCCTTATTGTAATTTAAGCATTATTAAGACACAACATGAAGAGTTTTTCAAGTACTTCGGGGCACACACATCAAAGCAATTGTAAAATGCTAGCTGCTTAGAATAGAATTATTAAGAAGCATGATGTCCTTTGTACGGTTTTATTTCTCTAAATATTACTTCACTGTTACAATCGACAACCAGAGTGTAACCTAACCACAGCACAGCTTTGAGCATAGACGGAAGCCATACAGAAATCCAAGCTTTCCTTTTCTCCTAAATCATGCACAACCTAGAGCTTAAATGGGAGGAGTTTCTGAGGTTCCTCTCTGAACACAAAATAAATTGTTCAAAAAACCATTATAAGACAGAAGCCTTGGTAGCATTGCACAAAGTAATGCAGGAAGTCCATCGCACAGCTTAGAGATACTGTGCTGTATGGTATTCCCTTACTGCTCCTCTGTTTACTCATTTATATGACCAACTTCCAAAAGATATTAATGTATAGCCTAGACCACCAGCTCACTAACTATTTAAAGTTGTCATTGCTAGGTGCTGACTTTTGCTTCACTGACAGCAGCAATACATGCATTTCATTCCATTGATACCTTGCTCTGAAGTGTGCATATAGCAGTCAAACTATACCAATAAAGAGCACTGAGGTCAAGATCCAAATGCCATTTGTAAGATAAATGTAGGCCATTCGATATACACTTTAATTTTCTCAAAATGCTTCTGTTAGGTCTAGAAGGCTGAACTTTTGCTTATGCTACTGCCATCATTATACTACTGCCAAGAAAGCAGGCAAATAAGTTTTTGAATTTCAGGATAAAAAGAATCAGTTCACTGCCCAGCAATCTGAAGCACTAGTGTACTGGATTGTTACATCTATTAGTTGCTCACTTACCGGTCTTGGCAGGAGACCATATGTACTCAATAACTGTAGATGGATAAAAGGCTGTCTTTATCGTCATAAAGCATGGTTTGGTATCAAGCAAAGAAAGAAGGAAAGGAACAGTTCAGCAACACTGGAAAGGTGATGGAGAGCGTCCTTATGGAAACTTCCCAAACATTAAGGACAAGAAGGTGATCAGGAATGTTGAGCATGGATTTGGGGATGACTGACCAACTGATAGCTTTGTACGGTGAAATAACAGGCTCTGTGGATGAGGGAACAGGAGTGGATACTTGTTTATCTTTATTTTAGCAGGACTTTCAACACTGTTTCTGATAACATCCTGATTGAAAAACTGATGAAATATGGACTATGTAAAAAGACAGTGAAGTGAACTGAAAACTGACTGAACTGCTGCTCTCAAAAAGTTGTGATCAGCAGCACAAAGTCCATCTGGAGGCCAGTCACTAGTGGTGTCCACTTGGCAGTCAATACTGGCACCAATGCTTTTGGATACCTTCAGTGATAACGTGGATGCTGGGACAGAGTGAAACCTCAGCAATTTTGCAGCTGATGGAAAACTGGAAGGAGTGGTTGATTCACAAGATGGTTGTGCTGCAAATCAGAGGGAACTCAACAAGCTGAAGAAAGGACTGACAGGAATTTCAAGAAAGTCGACAAAGGGAAATGCATAGTCCTGCATATGGGGAGGAATAATCTCATGCACCAGTACTGGCTGAGGACTGGATATCTGGAAAGCAGTGTTTGCCAAAAATGACCTTGGGAACTTGGTGGTCAGCAGTTTGAACATGAGCCAGCAAGGTGCTCTTGCAGCATTTTCTGGTTTTTTTTCTGTTCTGCTGGTGTCTGTGCTCAAATATGCAAGAGAACAAAAGACCTAACTTAGGAATAAGGTAGTTTCCCTCTGTGGTTGGGTAAGTTTGCAGCCCTCATAAATGCACTAAATTGATGTGCTTATGAAGATCACCACTGTAAGCTCTGTGGAGAATGCATATACATAGGAATCTAAATGGGACAGAACTTGTGTCTCTAGAGAAGTAGGTGATATCTTTGGCACTTAACCAGACTATACAGTCTTCTGAGGAAAGGCAGAGGAATATAGTAATGAGCAAGTGGGAAGGGGATAAACAAGTAATAAATCAAATAAATTATTATTATTATCATCATCATTGCTGAAAAAAAAAAGAATATTACCTCATGGATTCCAAAGTGAGCATAGGAATCAAAGTAATAATCCCTGGATGTCATCTCTTCTGGATTGATGAGCTTTGCCATCTTGCCTCGGCCAGGACAGCTTGGTTGCAGCGGGACATGTATGACAGATTGAACTGGCTTTGGAACAACAGTAGGTTGAGGAGGCTGGGATGGGATAGGACAAACCTAGGAAAACATGGGATATTGTTAAGAGGGATCATTAAAAGAAAACATTTCTCTCTCTCTAGCATAGTGATGTTATTGTAACTAGCTAGGAGATAGTAAGACCAAAGACATCTGGGGTATCATAAATTAAATTTAGACTGCCTTGTGTTCCCAGCTCTTTAACTTATTTGCTTTGTCTTGGAAAATTTCCTTAATGGCTTTTTCCTTGATGTTCCTCTGCAGACACCTACATCAGTGCAAAGTAATGGCAAATTATTGGTGTTGGCTGAAGTGGATAACTACAAACATTGAGACAAGGAAATTCAGAGTTAGGTTTTCTCCTTTGGTGTCTTTCTGTCAAACTGCCACAGTGAGAGGTAAGCTGTAATAAACGAATAGTTCCCATGCAAAGAAGAGCTTATAATTAAAGGATTTTGAACACAGTGTTAACAACAAGAAGGATGGGATTCACAATCAATTCTTAGCTGTCAGGTAATGTGCCTGACTGTATTGATGAGGTAGGTTTGAGAATGCTCACAATATCTGGAAGTCCATGATACTATCTGAAAGTCTCTCAGCATGTCCAGAAAGCACTGCAGGGAGCTGTGTGGGATATGTGATCCCTTAATTTAGATTCCTCTTGTTGGGAGATGCAGGAGTTATGTGTTACCAATAGCACCCTGGCCTGTGCTTCATTTTCCTTGTGAATTGCATCTCCAACACCAAAATTTCAATAAAACCAGAATGCTCTCTTGATTCAGATTTGACACTTGTAGCACCTAAGACAGAAGACAGAATGCTTCACACACACGAGACACAGACTTGTCTGACTCATAAGTACATCTAAACCTTTCATAAACAGACACACACAGACACACATAATGGTAGGGGCTGGAAGGGACCTCTGAAGATCATCCAGTCCAACCCCCCTGCCAGAGCAGGATCACCTAGAGAAGATCACACAGAAACACATCCGGGCAGGTTTTGAATGTCTCCAGAGATGGAGACTCCACAACCTCTCTGGGCAGCCTGTTCCAGTGCTCTGTTACCCTCACAGTAAAGAAGTTTTTCCTTAAGTTTAGGTTGAACCTCCTGTGTTCCAGTTTGTGACCACTGCCCCTTGTCCTGTCGGTGGGCACAACTGAGAATAGTCTGGTCTCATCCTGATATTTCTAAGCATTAGTGAGTTTTCACCTCGGCCTCCTCTTCTCCAGGCTAAACAGACCCAGCTCTCTCAGCCTTTCCTTGTATGGGACATGTTACAGTTCCCTTATCATCTTAGTGGCTCTATACTGGACTCTCTCCAGTCGTTCCTTGTCCTTCTTGAACTGGGGAGTCCAGAATTGGACACAGTATTCCAGATGTGGCCTCACCAGGGCAGAGTAGCGGGGGAGGAGAACCTCCCTTGATCTACAGGCCACACTCTTCTTAATGCACCCCAGGATGCCATTGGCCTTCTTGGCCACAAGGGCACAGTGCTGCCTCATGGTCAGCTGCCCTCCACCAGAACTCCCAGGTCCCTTTCCCCTGAGCTGCTCTCCAGCAGGTCAGCCCCCATGCTGTACTGATACTTGGGGTTGTTCTTCCCCAGATGCAGTACCCTACACTTGCCCTTGTTGAATTTCATTAAGTTTCTCCCCACCCAACTTTCCAGCCTTTTCAGGTCATGCTGAGTGGCAGCACAGCCTTCTGTTGTGTCAACCACTCTTCCCGGCTTTGCATCGTCAGCAAACTTGCTGAAAGTACACTCTGTCCCATCATCCAGCTCATTGATGAATATATTGAACAGGTCTGGAACCAGTACCAACCCCTGAGGAACACCACTACACACGGGCCTCCAAGTAGATTCTGCTCCACTGACCACAACTCTCTGAGTTCTGTCCTTCATCCAGTTCCCAATCCATCCCACTATCCAATCATCCAGTCTACACCTTCTTAAGTCTGGCTGTGAGGGTGCCATGGGAGATGGTGTTGGAAGTCTTGCTGAAAGTCAAGGTAGACCACATCCACTGTCCTCCCCTCATCTATCCATCCAGTTACGCCATCTTAAATGGTTATCAGATTGGTTAAGCAACATTTCCCCTTGGCGAATCAATGTTGGCTACTCCTGATAACCCTCTGTTCCTTGACATGCTTTGAGATGGCACCAAGAACAAGCTGTTCATCACCTTTCCAGGGATGGAGGTGAGGCTGATCGGTCTGTAGTTACCCATGTCCTCCTTCTTGCCCTTTTTGAAGACTAGAGTGGCACTGACTTTCCTCCAGTCCTCAGACATCCCTCTTGTTCTCCAAGACTTTTCAAAGATGATGGAAGTGGCCTAGCAATGACCTCCACCAGCTCCCTCAGTACTTGTGGGTGCATCCTGTCAGGGCCCATGGATCTGTAGATGTCTGGTTTACTTAACTGTTTTCTAATCCAATCCTCTTCAACTGAAGCAAACTCTTCCTTCTGTGGTCTTGAAGTTCTGGGACTTCTGAGGGCTGGCCTTAGCCATAAAGATGGAGGCAAAGAAGGCATTCAGTAACTCCACCTTCTCTGTATTGTCTGTCACCAGGGCACCCACTTCATCCAGTAGCGGGCCCACATTTCCTTTAGCCTTACTTATGTCTCCAATGTACTTGAAGAAGCCTTTATTTTTGTCCTTGACCTCCCTTGCCAAGTTAAATTCTAAGGAGGCCTTAGATTTGTTGCAACCCTACATCCTCTGACAACATTCTCATATTCCTCCCAAGTGATCAATGCCTTCTTCCCCATGTTCTATAAACTTCCTTCTTACACTTGAGTTTATCTAATAGCTCCCTGCTCAGCCATGAAGGTCTCCTGGCTCCCTTACTGGATTTCCTACTCATTGACATGCTCTGATGTTGAGCTTGGAGGAAATGGTGTCTGAATATTAACCAACTCTCTTTAGTCTTGCTACTTTCTAGTGCCCTATCCCATGGGATTTCTCCAAGCAGTTCTTTGAAGAGGCCAAATTTAGCCCTTCTGAAGTCCAGTGTTGTGATTTTTTGTGTTGCTCTGCGACTATTGCACAGGATCCTGAGCTCCACCATCTCATGGTCGCTACAGCCAAGGCTGCCTCCAGCCTTCACATCCTCAATCAGTTCCTCCTTATTTGTCAATACAAGGTCCAGCAGCACTCCTATCCTTGTTGGCTCCTTCACCACCTGTGTTAAGAACTTATCATCAATCCACTGCAGGAACCTCCTGGACTGTGCTGCATAGCCTTTCCAGCAAATATCAGGGTAATTAAAGTTCCCTATGAGAACCAGGGTCTCTGCCTGGGAGGCTGCTTTCAGCTGTCTGTGGAAGGCCTCATCAACTTCCTCATTCTGATCAGGTGGCCTGTAATAGACAGCCACCAGAGTGTCTCCCATATTAGCCTGCCCCTTAATTCTTACCTACAAGCTCTCAAGTCACACTTCATTCACCTCTGGGCAGATGTTCATCCTTAACATAAAGCAAAATGCTGAAAACTGAGAAAGACTGAGCAAGACGCTACAGCTTCACATGTGCATTAAGTCATCTGCAAATTATGGGTCAATAACTTCATATATTAAGAAGGTCAATCCTACTTAAAATAAGTCAACTCATCTTGCACTCTTTTAAAATTTTATTTTCAGATTTTGTAGTTTCCCAGTGGGGAACAGATTTGCTTGAGCTTCTCCTAGATACTTTCATAAAGTTCACACTATCTTCTATAGCTTGATACTGTGAGACATCAATCCCTTGTACTTTCTCTGAATAGCATCAATTAGCCTAGTTCAGTTTACTTCAATAAAAATAAAACCCACAACCCACATTTTTTTCTGTGTTCATTTGAAGATTTAAATGTGTAATCTTTTGACAGTTTCTTTGGTGCATCAGTGAAAAATGAATACTAGTGGTTTATGTTCCTGTAACACCTTTAATCGCCAAAGATATGGAAGTGCTTTATTTATAAGTCTTTTCTATTTCTGACGTCTTTGACTTTATCACCTCACACAGTTCACCTCCCACCCAGAATACAACTGTTCCCAATTGGTAGTTGTATTTCTGTCCTGTCTAGTTCTAAAATGCCCATCTGCAGTAATTTCTTTTAAGAAACTATTTCATTGTCTTTTCACTGAAAGTAACTCCTTGACTGTTCATTCTGTCAAGGTGTTGCTTGTAATATTCAACCCTTCCAAATTTAATCCTGATAATTTTAATTACATTCTTGAGGTTATATCCTAACATTTTTCTCCATAGGTATGCATACTATCAAATTTTTGCAGATACCATGCCCTGTAGTCCTTCCTGTATTTGATGGATTAGAAAGACTTAAACTCTAGATGTTTGGAGTTTTGTTTTAATTTAATATGAACTGTGTAATATCTTACACTTTTCTCCTAAATCTTGTCCTCTGCATCATTTTACAAGCAAAATATGTAAATATAACAGTCGCTAAACTCTTCATTTATCTAGACACAAGATAGTACATCAGAGACAACTGATAAAAAGCTACCGACTTGGAGAGAAGATCTGTCAGTTTTTGTAAAGGAAATCAAAGCAGTATTAGCAGTTCTATTGCTGTCAAACTACAAATTCAGATGTGGTTTGCTGTACAATAGAAAACATTTTTTACAGGAAAAGAGACTAGTCTTTAAGGAAAATCTTCTCTCTGGGTCTCAGGCAATATCAGTTCTGCTCCTGGCTGCATGGAATTTGTCTAGACAGGGTTAGGAGAACAAGGGTTATTCTGACTAAAGATACAGAATGAAACTAAATTCAGCAACCCAGGCTAGGAAAGTTGTATGAATTATTTTGTTTGCTGTAAAGGAATTAACATTGTTATCTCATATTTCATAGCCTGAATTCCTCTACAGCCAAGGAGTCGCAAGATAACTTTCATTAAGCTACGGAGGCAGTATTAGACCTTTGACTCACAGTACTTTTCAGGTTTATATAAAGTACCTGAAGACTTAACTGCTCTCAACTGTCCATCTACATCTCTGCCAGAGGGTATATATCCCATGCAGTGGAAGAAATAGAAGCCTTC